CCCCCTTATAGAAACCAGATGGCGCCCATTATTACTGACATACCTACTCAAGATCCCTAATAGAGCCTATATTTCTTTGAGTATGTTATATTGAGAGCATTTAAATCGCTGAAACCACATCAACCAGTACAAATTACTTCTAAGTTACTAGATTTTGCTTTTCCTTACCACAATAACAAATACCATAATCACTAAATTGGGTGTCTTCTCCATGGTTCTTTCTCTTCTGTCACTTAAATATTTTTCACAGTTCTGATTTACCTGGTACTTCTTAGCTTTATCAGGTCATCATCGAGGTAATGTAGTGTAGATTAAACTACTCAACATGTTAAAAAGATCAAAAGGCTATCATGTAATTAGCAATTTGATTGACAATCAATGACCTTGAACTAAATAGTTCTTCTATCAGATTCACAGAAGATAACAATGTCATTTCAACAGGCTCTACTCGTGCTCAAGCGCTCGACACAGCAGAAACACTTTTCGAGGGAGCCTAGGCATGGTTCTCCGGCCAAAAGATTTTTAAGCCCCCTTCACACTGGGCCACCATGGTGGTTACACCGGTGGCGACACCATGGTGGCTACGTTACATTAGCATTGATTTAAATGGGACATCTTCACACTGAGCTTTGGTGGCGCGTATGGCCGCGCGACCAGAAATGCGGTGGCTCGGGGTTGCGATTTTCAGAGACACCAGTCTGGTGGCGCCACCACGTCGTACCATGGTTTCTTATCGGACTGTTCACATTGGAGCGACTGGCAGCGCCACCAGTCACCAGTGGGCATTACTCAGTATACTAGTTTACTAATCTTTTGAAGTTGTTAAGGTAATAAATATGGGTAAATGATATTATTGATATAACAAAATGTATAGGTACTCTATTTCATTTACATCTTTTTTTGGTCATTGCAATGTATACATTGAGTCAAGGTATTACAGTGTTATTAATAAATGGTATATTAACTATGTTTTTATTTAATTTTCCACAACGTTAGTAGCAGTTTTTCTTCTGGAGATATTTTATCTTTCAGACTTCCCAGAAGCTCATCAAAACTTAAAACACTCATTCTTGAGTAAGTAGTAATTGTGAAACGTGTAAGGGTGTTTTTAAGGTCTTGGTAGTGAATGAAAAAAGTCTCTCTGGTACTTATATCTCATAAAAACGGATGAACAAAAAAATACGTTTTTTTCTTATGTTTTCACAATTTCAAAAAAATATATACACTAAGCACCTGCCTCTTCGACGTCCAACTGTGAGCTTTGTGGCTACAGCTGCACTGGTGGCTGAGCTGGTGGTCCATGCGCATTTTGACCGGCCACCAGTGTCGCCACCGGTGTCGCCACCATGGTGGCCCAGTGTGAAGAGGCCCTTAAGCTGAACGAGGAAAAGACTCAAAATATCGTATGCACCTCAACTCGATATCACCAAATTGAAACCAAAGTCCATCTGCTCGGTTTCACCATCGACCCCAAACTGACATGGGCGGAACATATCAAGGTTGTTTGTTGCAGGCTGTAAAGAGTCGTGTGTCTGTTACGCAAACTTTCTAAGTTAGTAACCCCACAATATCTGGTGGTCCACCTACATTTTAAACATTTCCTAGGGGAATGGGAGGACCCCCCCCCCCCTCTTCATATGCTCCTGACTGGGACGATGGCGTCGACCTGTAATCCAGCAACTAGGAGATCAGAGTGATATATTACACCTCTCTTTCAAAGTGTTCTGAGCAACGGCCTAACGCTTTGGGGGCATGCACCTTCTTGTAATGAAGTTCTTTTGTAACAAAAGATGGTTGTCAGGATTATAACTTTTAGCAAAAGATTTGGACCACTGCCAGCCTCTTTTCATCAAAACAAAAATGTTAACGGTCTATAGCCACTTCATTCTGATGTGTGCAACATATGTTAAAAGTAACATTCCAAAGTTTCCAACCAGATCGTCCTCAACAGTGGCGGATTCAGAGGGGGGTGAAGGGGGCGACCGCTCCCCCTCGGGCATACATAGGTATATAATTTCTACTGCACGTAATACAGTAGTGCATACATATTGCGTAAAATAATTTGTCACACTAACTTTGGACAAAGAAATGGTATAAAACTGCCATTTAGCAGACTTAGTTTGCACAAAGTTTTCAGGGGGGTACCCCGGAACCCCCCATACCACCCGTTTCGCCCCCCCCCCCTTGTGACTGTTCCTCCACTGGTCCACAAACACCAAACAAGACAAAATCATGAAATATACCTTCCTTTCTGTCTGCAATTTGGATCTACAACACCTTACCTGAAGACAATAAAAATCCTTGAAACAAGGAAATTTAGCACTGTCCTGAAGTCATGGCTAATAACCAAGCATTTCTATAGCCTTGACGAATATTTTGAAACAGTGAATAAAAAATTAGTGTTGACCCACTGCCAAAAGTGAATAAATGTAAATAGGCCTATTGTAAATTGTACAAAACAAAAGTACCAATTAGTAGCCTACTTTATGTTTTATTTTTTTTTATGACACAACCTATCCGGCATAGGTTGGTCTTGGTGAAGAAGAAGATAACAGGTAGGTATCGGTAACTCATAAAATAAACCGAATATTTTCATTTAGCCTGTAGAAAATGTTTAGTTTCATGACTTGAAAACTTAATTATATCGAATCATTCAAAAAAAAAAACTTGCTGAGATAATTTAAGCTGAGCGCATTTTGTTACTGGCTCATTCACTCAACTATGCTTTCTTTTAATAAAAGGTGGCAGCTGGTTCATAAAGATAGGATGTCTACTTTAGTATGCCTATACAATAGTCAATGGTAATATGCAGCAGGTTTTTATAATGTAGGCGGAACGTGCTATATTAACGTGGTATTAATTTATATGGTTTGGTTAGTACCGTACCGGTATTAATCATCTTCTTTTTTCTAAACTCCTTGTAACAAGTACTGTAGTAAATTGAAAGAGTTTTGAGACATCCTAATAAATTAAGAAGAAAAAAAATTCTGAATAATTTCTTAATTTGCTATGAAAGGTATGGAACATCCCTTCAGACTTCTTGTTGCTTATTATTGGATGGATTCACAATTTTGTGGCATCGTCTATAAACTAAAAGTACAATAGGTACCACGAGTTTTATCTTGCGGCATGACAGGATCTGGGTCACATGTACCACTACCGCCCCACTAAACTGCTAGTAAAGCCACGGCACATGCTACAACACTGCAGATTGTGGTTCATATTCAGTTGCTTGTGGAGCCACCTGTCGGGTGTGAAAATTACAGAGTGATATACTACTGCCAGAGGAGTCGTTTAAGTTACCCTAAGAATGTGAATACAGTAATAATCAAATATAGATAGGCTACAGCACAAGTAAAAAAGCCTATTTCTGTTTCAAAGTCAGTTGTAGGCAGAACGAAAAAGACGATAGCTGAGTCCTTCAGTCCTTGGCTCGGTCGGACTAAAAAACCGATGTAGCATTGTCATGATTTCACGTCATGGTGTCGCAATTTGGATCTACAACAGCTTACCTGAAGACAATAAAAATCCTTGAAACAAGGAAATTTAGCACTGTCCTGAAGTCATGGCTAATAACCAAGCATTTCTATAGCCTTGACGAATATTTTGAAACAGTGAATAAAAAATTAGTGTTGATCCACTGCCAAAAGTGAATAAATGTAAATAGGCCTATTGTAAATTGTACAAAACAAAAGTACCACTTCACTCCACTTTTCGCCACTTAAAATTTATCAGGAGTAAAAACTAAAAAGTTTTTTCTTGTAAGTGTATGCTCATAGCCGACATAAGTTAGCCTAATATTATCAATATCACTATCAATTGAGATGGGGACGTGGGATATACTAGATGGGGACCTAAGTGCATATTTTAACCCAGATATGAGTGAAGGATGTGTGTAGAAATGGTGTGAGGTGATCTTTGTAGCTTTGTTATTGACTAAGATCAGCTTTTTCACTTAGCCAGGATCCTTAAATAAAACCCAATAATCAGGGACAGCTGGGTACAGTTTTGAACTATCAAAAAGCTATTGTTTTTTTTTTCTTCTCAGGATTGATTTGAACAACCTTTTGATTGCTAGGCGAGTAGGCCTACTATAACTGTTTAGCTACCCAGCGAGTCATGGTTGGCCAGTACTGGGGTGACTGATCCCCACCAATTTGAGATGTATCTTAATGATTTGACAGACTCGCACTGCTGCAATAGGCCAAGTATTTAATTTTGGATAGGCTAAGTAAGTTAAGTTTTATCAATTATCAATTATTTAAGATGGGGACGCCACTTTGTGCGTATTTTAACCCAAATATGAGTGAAGGATGAGTGTAGGATGAGTGGCGCGATCTTGTAGTCTTGTTAGTGAATAAGGCCGACATGTTCCTTAGACACAGCAGCTGTTAATTAATAGCCCATACAGCTAATGGCAACTAAGGGACCTACAGTTTATTGTGGAATCCGAACCACATTTTTTTCCTCGTAATTAAGGAATTGGTCTAATTATTAGGATAGCACTGCCGATAGTTTTAGTAGGCCTACTCACTAGCGCGGACGTTAATCCACACCAGGGAGCATCGCATCCACAGTGCATCCCTATAAATATCCACAATTCGTGACCTCCTAGTAGCTGGATTACAGGACAACGCCACCCGTCTCAGTTAATTAGGTAAAAGAAAAAAAATTTAAAATTTAAAGTTAACGAAACAACATTTTTTTTAACTGTCGCATAACTGAGTAGGGTAGGTCAACCCTTGTAGGTCACTGTAAGTTAAAGATTACGACCCTAGCCTAAGAGTCTACAAGTTAGGCTAAGTTAAATAGGCTAAGGACAGAAAAACATTATTGGTTTAAATAAGCCTAATCTGAAAAGTGGAGATTTAAGAGGACGTTTTATACAAAAAAAATATTAGCTTAGGATACAGCAAAATGTTTTGTTTTGGTCTGTTTAACGACTTAAAAGCTAGACTTAAAACTTAGATACCTTAGGAAGTTCAAATTAGTAGGCATGATGTTGTTCTACATTTTAATAAGAGTTTACAAGTTACATTTAAGATATGAATCAATCAAAAGAAAAATATGTTATTACCTTGGTCATTTGAGGTTCTCCTTTTTTAGAGGAATAAATTAGTGTCCAAGTTAACACAATTCATCATCTTCTTCTTCATCCAAATGATCAAGTTTAATTTCTTTGCCTTTTTCAGGTTTTGCCTTCTGTTTCTTACTTGATGACGGTTTCTTTTCTCCGACAACATATTCTGGCATGACGACTTTAGAGCTCCTGAAAATCTGCGAAGAGGACTTATCTTCAGAAACCTCTCGCTTCCTTTGAGTTTTTTTGAAAGTAGGTTTGCTGAGCTTTTCACTATCAACATCCATGTCTTGAGATTCCTTTTTCGCTCTCAATTCTCTTAAGAAAGACATTGCCGCAGCAGTATTACTTTGATCCGACATATCATCCTGTGAAACATCACTCAGAGTATACTTGGTCCATTTATCTGGGCGCCGTAGAAAGTCTGGAAGATTTTTTTGAAATCTAGAGGGGGCAGGAGCTTCAGGTCTTTTAAAAATACTCTCTTGGCCACGAAATGGACGTGTTTCTGATTTCTGCCTCTTAAAGGTGGCCTTTTCTTCATTCCCATGGCTCCTTTTATTGTCATTGAGCTTAGCGATACTAGATTCATTACTTTTCATGACAGCGTCAAGCTTTTCAAAAACATTTTTTTGACGACTGACAAAATCTGCATTGTTGTCACTTTTGGTCTGAACGAAAAATCGTCCTTGACCTTTATCTTGATTTATCATCTTATAGGGCAAGAGGCTAACTTATGCAGACCTAAGTTAATGAGTCTTGACAGAAGTTTGGGGTGTTAAAGGAGGTCTTGAACAAAGGCTAGGCTATTCCATATAGGCTAAATGATTATAAACTGGACGAAGTGTATGCTAATTTACAAATTTACACTCATCACTTTGGATGTACAGCAAAGAATGGTTAACTTTCAATTGAACAATGTAGCCTATTGGGATAGGCTAGAAGACTTATCTAGGTAGCCATAGGTTCTTCCAATACGCTTTAATTAAGTTACACGTTACACCATAAGAATAACATCGTTGTGTAGGCCTAGGTTATAAGGAACATTTACTAGGCTATAATTTAAATGTCACTAAGAATTCAGTTCAGTTTATGTTGAAGATAAATGAAATGACAGCAACGAACATAATAAATTATTCTTACAGAATATAGCCTAAATTGATTCGATTCAATTCAATAACAAAACAAACAAACAGAACAACACTTCAATCTTCTTTCTTCAATCCTAATTCTTTATTTATCATTTATCAGCTGTTCTTATAGTTTTTGTTTTTGAGAAACAGTTTTCTTTCTCTTTCTCTTTGGACTTGGAGCCTTGTGTGGCTCAATTGTTATGCACGTAAAACTGCCAATAAACCACCATTAAGCTATGACGTCAGCGTCAGATCAGTAGATCAAGAAGGCCGTGGCTGAAAAACTTCCTAACCTCAAAATGCGTTTTTCACTATAAATACAAATTTTTTATAACTGAGGTGATTAAATGAAGTATAATAACACTTGTTTCTATACCATAATTGTATCTCGCAATGTACTCCCACGTGCAAAGATAGTATAAAAACCTGAGCTAGTAAAAACAATATTCTGCAAAAACGGTTTATACGATTTTGGTAATTTTTATGTAGTATGATTATAAGTATTTAAGCAACCTGAGAAATAATTTGCAATCCCATACCATGGTTATGATGGAATCTATTAGATGAAGAATTTGAACCTGTCACTTATAACTTAAGACAACTATTTTTACATTTTGTATAAACATTATATCTCAAAAATCGTTTACGATTTTAATGATTTATATGTAGTATGATCATGATGTCTTAAGCTACCTGTGAAATAAATTGCATTACCATACCATGGTTATGATGGGTTCTACAACAGGTATAAGTTAGGCCTGTTCATTTCTAGGCTACTGATTTGACGAATCAGTTAAAAATTTATATCTCAAAAACCGTTTACACGATTTTAATGAATCTTATGTGGTATGATCATAATGTCATAAACTACCTGTGAAATAAATTGCATTTCCATACCATGGTTATGATGAGTTCTACAACAGGTAGAAGTTAGGCCTGTTCATTTCTAGGCTACTGACTTGACGAATCAGTTAAAAATTTATATCTCAAAAACCGTTTACACGATTTTAATGAATGTTATGTATTATGATCATATTGTCATAAGCTACCTGTGAAATAAATTGCATTACCATACCATGGTTATGATGGGTTCTACAACAGGTAGAAGTTAGGCCTGTTCATTTCTAGGCTACTGATTTGACGAATCAGTTAAAAATTTATATCTCAAAAACCGTTTACACGATTTTAATTAATCTTATGTGGTATGATCATAATGTCATAAAGTACTTGTGAAATAAATTTCATTTCCATACCATGGTTATGATGGGTTCTATAACAGGTAGAAGTTGGGCTAGTTCATTTCTAGGCTACTGATTTGCCGATTAAGTTGAACATTTATATCTCAAAAACAGTTTACACTATTTTAATGAGTCTTATGTGGTATGATCATAATGTTTTAAGCTACCTGTGAAATAAATTGCATTCCCATAACATGGTTATGGTGGTTTGTATAAGAGGTAGAAGTTGGGCCTGTTCATTGTTAGGTTACTGATTGACCGATTAAGATAAAAATTTATATCTCAAAAACCGTTTACACGATTTTAATTAATCTTATGTGATATGATCATAATGTCATAAGCTACCTGTGAAATAAATTGCATTCCCATACCATGATTATGATGGGTTCTATAACAGGTAGAACCCATTCAATGCTGGTTTCTGTATGTGGTAGAAGTTAGGCCTGCACCTTACTGTGCTACCGATTTTTCAGATAAAAAAAATATATTTCAAATTTGGCACCATAATTTTATCACTGGGTAATTTTTTTTCTTTTTCTTTAGACTTTACATTAAATGTTACATTGACTATTTATTTTTTTATTGCAGCCTCCTCCTCCCCTTATAGCTACTCCTTACCTCGCCATCATTTTTACCACTGGGTCATTTTATCTTAAGTAAGGTAATATATTTTTAAGAATTGTTTATCATTTTGTTTAGGCTATTAATTATATGTTACATTGACAATATTAATTTTTTTTTGCAGCCTCCTCCTCCCCTTATAGTTGCTCCTTACCTCGCCATAATTTTACCACTGGGTCATTTTATCTTTCTTTTTCTTTAGGCTTTACATTAAATGTTACATTGACTATTTATTTGTTTTATTGCAGCCTCCTCCTCCCCTTATAGCTGCTACTTACCTCGCCATAATTTTTACCACTGGGTCATTTTATCTTAAGTAATATATTTTTAAGAATGGTTTATTGCAGCCTCCTCCTCCCCTTATAGCTGCTCCTTACCTCGCCACAATTTTTACCACTGGGTCATTTTATCTTAAGTAAGGTAATATATTTTTAAGAATGGTGTATCAATTTGTTTAGGCTTTTACTTATATGTTACATTGACAATATTATTTTTTTTATTGCAGCCTCCTCCTCCCCTTATAGCTGCTCCTTACCTCGCCACAATTTTTACCACTGGGTCATTTTATCTTAAGTAAGGTAATATATTTTTAAGAATGGTGTATCAATTTGTTTAGGCTTTTACTTATATGTTACATTGACAATATTAATTTTTTTTATTGCAGCCTCCTCCTCCCCTTATAGCTGCTCCTTACCTCGCCATAATTTTTACCACTGGGTCATTTTATCTTAAGTAAGGTAATATATTTTTAAGAATGGTGTATCATTTTGTTTAGGCTTTTAATTATATGTTACATTGTCAATTTTAATTTTTTTTTATTGCAGCCTCCTCCTCCCCTTATAGCTGCTCCTTACCTCGCCATAGTTTATACCCTTACCACTGTTTCATTTAGACTGTAGGCCAATGTTAGATGTGAAAACCTTGAGGATGATTTTAGTAAATATTAGTAAGAATTTAACAGTGTTCTCATGTGGTTTGTAATGTAATAATGATAATCACTGTTTTATTTAAATATAAATTTTACAGCCTATACTTTTTAAAGACTATTAGAGACAGTGAATGAAGTCAACCTATTACTCTTATTTTTGTTGTTGTAAATATTTAGTTTGGTAGTACCTGCATAAAATACAAAAGAAATCTATGTGTTCTAACACTTGAGTAGAACTTGGCACATCAGGTGGTAAGCAATTTCCACCACCTTTCTTACTAGTGTGAAACCACCTTTTACAAGCAGTACATTCAACGCAAAAGTCATTTTGGTTTCTTGGTGAGTCGGGAAATTGTCCATTGCAAATGTAACATGTATTAACCATATAGCCTGAATAGCTAAGGAGCTTTTTGAATAACAATATTCTATGTTGATCTGCATCAAACATCAAGTCTATTGAACCATTTGTTTTTAATTGTTCTATGAAATACAAAATGAATACACCACAATTGTAACTGTCAGTTTGAACAGGATGTCTTAAATGGCCATGTTGCCATGATTTGACTATGTCATCAAAGTCAGTGTTGGTTATGTTTGAGTAAAATTTTAGAAAGTTGTTAAATATATACTTTTTTCTGTTAGGATTGACAAAATCTGATGAAGGATCAATAAGGTAAAATGTATGGTCCTTCACGTTTGCATAGCCTAAAACCCAGTGCACGTTATCAATGTTCAATGGGAAAAATAGCTGTTCTGCAACAGAAATATCTGCAATTGATTTTGTAAGCAACCAGTGGTTAGGTTTGATATCTTCTCCTTGGACAAGACTTAATGTTGCAACATTGTCATGAACTATTGAACTGTTATGGTTGTCTTTTCCCATGAGTATAAGCCCTACAGCCTCTATGACAGAGTTGTCAAGCCAAGATTTGCCCCGTAACAGTTCAATATCATTAATGTACAAGCAACACTTTGAGTTGTTCCGACCTTCGATGGAACAAACAATGTAATTTTTCCTCTGTGGTAATTGAGTATAATAGTTAGGGTCAGAAATCAAGCCATTATCTAAAATCAGATTTGTTATCGTTAATTGGTGTTCATGTGTCATAACGTAAGGTTTTTGAACATGATTTTGCAAGTACTTAGATTGGAAATAGCTTGGGCGAGTTATCTTAGAGGGTTTTTCCCAAGACTCCTCGACAACATCCATGTCTTCATCTGACAGCAAAAGCATTCCAGTTTTATTGTTATCAGGTACTGTCTGTGCTTTAGAATTTTTCTTAGATTTAGTACTCAATTTCAAATGTCTTTTAACCACATTATTCCTCGGTTTACGAACACAGCAACCTTCCTTAGGTATGTTTAGTGTGATTTCTTTGCAACGGGCCTCAATAACCCTTCTTACCATCCTAATAAACCTGTTAGCTCTGAGATTAGTTTGTCCCTTTAAAATTACATTTTTAACCATACCAAACCAACTTTCAACCGGGGCATTGCTTAATCTCTTTAATGCTGTAACATTAACTTTGCTTTTTAACATAATGGCAGACCACAGTGGTAAAAAAGCTACAAATCTCTTAGCAATGAGAATTGCTAATTTCGGGCAGTAAAACGGATTCTTATTAGGCCTACAGTCTATATTTGAGATGTCATGGCTACTTTCTTCAGATATAGGACAAAGGTCTATATCTTCTTTGTTTTCATCATTATTTAGAGAACTTACAACTAACCCATGCATAGAAAACAATTCAGCCCTTGTTTGACAAATTTCGTTAAAGAATGGACTTTTTTTATATAAAGTTGTACAACTTGTATCATGAAACATTTCATCTGTACATACATTTTCACTATCAAAATCTGTTTCAAATGTGTTTTCCTCAACAGTGCATTCTAAGTTTAAAATACCTAAAGCATATTGAACCTCTGAGTTGTTGTTGAAGGTCATTAGTATAGTGAAGGTGTGACTTAATATTGTTTTAATCTTTTCATATGAAGTACAGTTTATGATAAAACAAAGTATTTGTAAAGCTAACTGTTTAATTGATTTTCGTTCCCTTGACTGCAAATTTAATGTTGCTGCATATATATTATTTACACATATTTTCACGAAATGGCAACAGCAGACATGTACAGTAACTGTGACCGGTTGTACACTGGCTTTGTTATGTACATAGTTGTGGCAGTGGATTAAGTATGAAGTTAGGTCCATTTTGTTCCATTGCACAATGACAGCTTCGATTAGGGCCCAGCTAAAGTCAACAACGACTCTTTGAGCAAGAGGCCACTTATTTTCTTGAATAAGAAAATCTTTTAGTTTTAATAGCCAACCTCCAATAGAAATTGCATTATGTTTGCAAGTAATATATTCAGACA